GGGAGGAGGGGAGGAGAGGAGGAGGGGAGGAGGGGAGGGAGATAGCATCTAACCCTGCTTTCTTCCTGCGAGCAGTGGCTCAATACCTTAGGCAGTTGGGGTGACTTTCAGAACGTGCGCCTCTACTATGAGAACTGCCTTGGGGTGTGGCTCAGTGGAGCAGCACTTGCTTGCTCAAGGCCCTGGGTTCCATCCCCAGCACCACAAAAAACAAATAAATGAATGAATCTTAAAAGATAAGAAATGAGCAGGAGAAATGGATCTTAGTTAAGAGCACATATTGCTCTTGCCGAGGACCCGAGTTCAATTACCAGCATCCAAGTCAGGGGACTTACAACCGCCTGTACCTCCAGCTCCAAGGGGATGCAACACCTCTGGCCTCTGTGGACATCTACACTCACACACACACAGTTACAAATAATAAAAATAAACCTTTTTAAAAAAAATAAGAAACAATGTCACCCCTCTGTGGCTTCCCCTCTTAGCCATTATGAAGGAGACCCAGTTCCTCACCAATGTGGTCTAGGCTTGATTTCTCCCATTAGATTATTATACATCATCTCTGCTGCCTTCAGCTGGAATTTGACCTAACTCTGTCTTTCTGCCATTCATTTCCATCAAACTGTATCTGATCTATTTTGTTCATTTGTTTTCGTGACAGGTTGTTTCTCTGTGTAGCCCTGGCTGTCCCGGAACTCTCTCTCTCTGTAGACCAGGCTGGCTTCATATTCAGAGATCTGCCTGCCTCTGCCTCTCAAGTGCTGGGATTAAAGGCATGAGCTACTACACCTGGTTTGTTCTTTCTTTTTATAAATGATCAGGGCTTGGTGGTGCATGCCTTTAATCTCAGTACTCAGAAAGTGGGAAGACTTTTGGGAGTTTGGGGATATTCAGAGCTACACAATAATGTGGGGGCCCACAGAGGCTCCAAAGTAAAGCTTTACTCAAGGTCAGAAAGTCTGAGCTTGCTTTACCCAGCAGGGCTGCATAATAGGATGATTTGGCCAAAGGTGTGGTTACCAGGTGTTTTGAAGGGTCTACATTTCTTGGTACTTTATACTTTGACCTTGAGAGGGGGAGGTCTTTTGCTCCTCCCCTTACTGATGTATAAAAAGCTCATCATAATTAAAGTTGAGAGGACTGAGTATTGACCTAGGGCTCTCCTGAAGCTATCCTGTGTCCCTGTCTTTCTCATCATCTCCATCTATATTTCTAATGCTACCTCATTCCTCACTCCTCCCCCCAAGAATCCTTCAACAGGTCAGAGCTGGCCTCCCTACACAATAAGACTCTGTCTCCAAAACAACATTTAATTTTTTTTTTTACTTTATGTATGAGCACCTGCCTACATATATGTATGTGCACTGTGTGTGTACAGTGCCTGCAGAAGCCAGAAGATCCTTTGGAACTGGAGTTAAGGAAGGTTGTGAGCTTCCATGTGGGTGCTGAGAACTGTACCTGGGTACTTTGCAAGAACAGTCAATGTGGATGTGTTGAATTACTACTTTGCTGTACATATTATCTAATAAACTTTAGAAAGAAAAAAGAAGGCTGGGTGGTGATGGCACATGCCTTTAGTCCCTAGCACTCGGGAGGCAGAGCTCTGTGAGTTCGAGGCCAGCCTGGTCTACAAAACGAGATCCAGGACAGGTACCAAAACTGCAGAGAAACCCTGTTTTGAAAAAACAAACAAACAAAAACAAAACAAAAAAACCCAAAGCCCACCCCCACTGATACACTTCCTCCAATAAGGCCACACCTCCTAAACCCTCTCAGGTAGTGCCACATCCTAATGACTAAGCATTCAAATATATGACCCTATGGGGGCCATTCTTATTCAAACCACCACATCAGGCTAGTCTCAAACTCCTGGACCAAGTCACCTTTTGCCTTGGCCTCCACTCCAGACATTTTTAGTTTTGCTTTTCAAAGGGCAAATTTGAAAGGGCATTGATGCCTTTTGAAATTGAAATGGGAGAGGGTCATGTAACTGAGTGTAAGACTGTCTGCCTACCATGGGCAAGGCCTTGGGTATGGTTCCTAGCACCACCAAATTTTTCAAAATAAAATAAGATTGAGGGGCTGAAGATGTAGTTGAGTTGGTAGAATACTTGCCTAGCACGTATGAGGCCCTGGTTTCCATCCTCAGCCCTGTATAGCATTGATGTAGTGGCACATGCCTGTGTTCCCAGCTCTTGATAGAGGCAGGAGGATCCTTAGTTCAAAGTCTACTAAATGAGCCTACACCCTCAGCCCTTATGTCCGTGAGATCCCAAAGAAACTCAGGACCGGTAGCTAAGTGTGGTGCCTATTTAACACACCAAAGTGCATCTCTGACTGCAGGCTGCCAGGCTCTTCCAACATCACAGGTACCTGTTACTGTCCTGGCTCCTGTCAGCATTTCTCACCCCGCCCACCCTGCCCACCTCTACCCTAAACCTCTCCAGCGCCAGAGCTTCCCTTCCCTTCCCTTTTCTCAGTTTCTCTTTTCTATAAAAACCGGCCATTTTGGCAATGAGCTCTCTTGGCCTCCTGGTCCTTGGCTCCCCTCTTGGTCCTCTTACCTTCTCTCCTCTTTGCTCTCTCTTCTCTTCCTCTCCCCCCTCCCCGCCCCCGGCCACCCTTTCTCTCCTTTCATGGCCTGGTTCAGTCTACTGGCCATGTCCCACCTACTGCTTTCTCTCTCCGCCTCTGGTGGCTCTCTCCCTCATGCCTACACTAAAAACCTCCTCCTCAACCATACCTAGGGATGATCCTGTCTTCATTTTCATTCAGTGCTCTCCTTTATTTATTTTGTGCATGTATGTGTATGGCACACGTGCAGGTGTGAGCACACGTGTGGGTCCCTTGCTTTGGTATGCATGTGTATATGGAGGCCAGGATGTGGTGTTGGGTGTCTTCCTTGACCTCTGTCCATTCTGTTTACTGTGGTGAGGTCTCTCACTGAACCCACAGCTGGCCCTAGTGAAGCCCTGCCTCTCTCGGCTTCCTGAGGGGTGGGGCTAGAGATGGGCTTCCATAACCAACTGCTTTCACATTGGTCCTAGAGAGCAGAACTTCAGTCCTCAAGAGATTTATGGCTCTCCTCTTTTTATTTGCTGCTGCTGCTGTTGTTAGACATGGTCTCATGTAGCCCAGGCTGGGCTCTCACCATATGGCTGAGGATGACCTTGGAATAGCGACCCTCTTGCTTCTGCTTCCCCAAATGCTGATACAGGCTGGGCCATCACATTCAGTTTAAAGCACCAAATAAATAAACGGGGAGATGGCTCAGTTGATAAAACACTGTCTCACAAGCATATGGACCTGAGTTTGGATGCTCAGAACCAGGTAAAAAACTGAACATGCTGGCACTCTCTTGTAAGGCCAACAGTGGTGGCCCACTGGGCAGCCTGACAAGGGAAAATCAAAACTTGAAAAAAAAAAAAAAACCCAGCACCTTCTCTCAGCTGGGTTCATTAAACAATAGTCCAGGCTGCTTTCACCCCAGTGACTCACTGCAGCTGGGGTTCTGAATGCAAACAAAACAGCAAAGGAAGCCACCAGGGGAGGAAGTGACATCGTGTCCTTCACTTTCTGGTGCTAGGAAGGAAAAAAAACACTCCATTTTATACTGCACCCATTTGATACCCACCAGTCATTTGTCTAACTCCAGTTTCTGAAACCCTGTTCTCTAGCAGCGGTGGGGCCTGGGAGAATGGAGCAATAGCCAATTTTATTGAGAGCATCAGATACTTTATGCTCTGATGGTGAAGAAGAGTCACCTGAGTAAAGTGTACAATCACAAGGATAAGATGCATGTGGCAAAAACATGTTTTGCTATGGAGAGATATAAACAAATAACAACAGCCGGTTGTAATGGGTAATCTGAAGGAAACTCACTCCTAACTGCTAACCTGAAAGGGTAAAAAACACATTCCAAAAAGAAACTGAGGTCACAGGACTCTCCTCTCTCTCTCTCTCTCTCTCTCTCTCTCTCTCTCTCTCTCTCTCTCTTTCTCGTGTTTTCTCACAAGCACTCAGAATTCTCCTCACACGACTCCATTCTTGAACTGTGTTCTGACAAACCTGACTCAGAGATTCCTCCACCTAGAAATGTACAGGGACCATCTACTAATTACGTTATGACTGACTCTTTTCTGGCGTCTGTAACCTGCTCATGCAAACATTCAGGTTGCCTTGTCTACCTAATCTTGGCAGATCAAAACAGCTCTTGGCTTGTTTCTGCAGATACTCAAGGTCTTCTTATGGTTTTTGCCTTTAAAAAACAAAACACCCCTTCACCCCCACTTTGCACAGCAATCTCAAGTTGGGCTCAGAGATTGTTGTTATGCTAGCGGTAATCAACAAATCGTTATAATTGAATTGGGCCTATGATCTTTTTCCAGGGGACAAGAACTTCATCACACTGAGAAAGTGTCCAGAATAGCACACCTATCCATGCAAGTCCCCAGGGAATTTAACCTGAGGGCACTTGACACTCTGGGGGTTCACAGAACCCCAGAGGTTACTGAGGTCCACTGACTGAAGACCAGCACTACTATCTAGGAAAATCTTGGCAGACGGTGGGGAGGAAAGTGTCATTTCTCAGGGTGACCTACTTTCACTCTTGTTTGGCGTGAGGTTAACCCAGAACCAGCCTGTTTCTGCCCACTTCTCACACAAACCAGCTACTGTAGCAACGCAAAATAATAATACTTTTTTTTTTTTTTTGAGTCAGGATGTCCTACAGTTTAGGGTGACTTCCAACTCCCTATGTAGCTGAGGGTGACTTTGAACTCCTGATCCTCCTATGTCCTGAGGTTACAGGCCTATGATCCCCACACCAGGCTGAGAGCATAATTTGAAAATGCCAAGGGTGGTGGCTCAGGCCCAGGATTCCTGCAGTTGGAAGCCGAGGCAGGAGAAACAGGAGGTAGAGGCAAGCCTGGGCTGCATAATGTCTGTCTCAAAAGAGGGAGGAGGAAGGGACCAGTGAGTAAGATGGCTTAGTAGGAAAGGTGCATGCCAGCAAGCCTGACAGCCTAAGTCTGATTCCTGGGACCCACATGGGTGAAGGAGAGAACCAACTCCTGACAGCTGTCCACTGGCCACCACAAGTAAATATAATAAAACATTGCAAATAAAAACCGAGGCGCTGGAGTGAAGGCTCCGTAGCTAAGAGCACTTGTGGAGAGGACAGCACTCGCAGTATGACTCACAATAGCCAGTAACTCTGGCTCTAGGGGATCCGATGCCCACTAGCCTGCACCGGCACCCTACACATGTATACAGACACACAACGTACACATAGCTAAAATAAAAATAAACCTTTAAAGGTGAGAAGGGACAAGGAGTCTCAGAAAATGGTGAAACCGTTTTTGTAGAAAAGTTAGTCAGGTATGTTGACTCATGCTTTTAATCTCAGCACTCAGGAGGCAGAAGGTGAATTTGAGGCCACACTGGTCTACATAGTGAGTTCCAGGATAGCCAAAGATATATAGTGAGACCCTGTCTCAAAAAATACCAAAGAAGAAGAAAAAGGAGAGGTAGAGAGCAGAAAAAAAAAAAAATCCCACTGTTTGTAGTAAGAAAAGGTAAGGATCTAAAATAATGTCTCATTAGGTGTCTGATCCTCTCCTCTCATCCTCTACCTCCACCATGCAAGCCAAGAGCTGCAAAAGGAGACCCATTACTACCTCTGGGTCCAGTCATGCATACTGCTCTGGGCATGACAGCCTGCCAGAACCCAGCTGGGGTTCCCACCCACCTGCTTGCCTCCACTCACCCTCAGAAGCAGCCATAGCAGCAGCAGATGCACCAGCACGGCCATCAGAGACAGAGGTAGGACAAGGCAGGGCTGGGCTGATGAGTGTGAGGACTAGCCAGCTGCAGCCCAGATGCAGCCCAGATGCAGCCCTAGCCAGCTAGGAGGCATTTAAAACCACTCCCTGTCTGAGTTCTTCCGGTAAGGTCCACACCCAGGCTCCTCGACTTCCTCGCTCCCCTGAACCGTCGTTGTTTTTGAAATTTACATTAAAGTTCCTCAAAACCTCCACTCACCACTCCACAGTACCAATGGCCAGCAAAAGGCACTTCAGAGCCAAGGAGTTTGAAAGCAGAGCCAGCCTAAGAGATGCGTGCATTGACTGACAGTAAGTCTACCCAGACACTGGACTGTGGGTCAGCCTTAAAGAGGAAGGAAAGCCTCCCACATGTTGGATGCCCCTCCAGAGCCCTGGGCTGCAAGGAGTCGGCTGGTCTCAAAGGGACAAACACTGTGTAAGTCTGCTGCTGAGGACCTGGTAGTCTCAGGTCTACAGAGGCAAAAAGCAGGATGGAATGCCAAGACTGGGAAGGAAAGCTGAGAGTGAGTGGCTCATGGGGATAGAATTTCAGTTTAGGAAGACAGAAAGTTCTGAAGGTGGATGGTGCTGGGGTTGGCTTGATGATACAACAGTGCTATGTATGCGATTTGTGCTTTGGAGCTGGGCATTCAGACATGGCCAGAGTGGTTTAAAAAATGAAGAAATTGGAGCCAGGCAGTGGTGGCTCATGCTTTTAATCCCAGCACTTGGAAAGCAGAGGCAGGTGGATCTCTGTAAGTTCGAGAGGCCAGCCTAGTCTAGAGAGCAAGTCCCAGGACAGCCAGAGCTACATAGAGAAACCCTGTCTTGATAACAAAACAACAACAACAACAACAACAACAAGGAAGCTTCTTTATGAAGTAGATTGTACTTGCTGGTTTTGTGTGTCAACTTGACACAAGCTAGTCATCAGAGGAAGGAGCCTCAGTTGAGGAAATGCCTCTGTGAGATCCAGGTGTAAGGCATTTTCTCAATTAGTGATTAATGCAGGAGGGCCCAGCTATCCCTGGGTTGTTGGTCCTGGGTTCTGACCAAGCCAGGGGAAGCAAGCCAGTAAGCAGCTCTCCTTCATGGCTTCTGCATCAGCTCCTGCCTCCAGGATCCTGCCCCATTTAAGTTCCTTCCTGACTTCCTTCAGTGATGAACAGCAATGCTGAAGTGTAAGCCTAATAAACCCTTTCCTCCCCAACTTGCTTTCTGGTCATGGTGTTTTGTTGTGGCACTAGAAACCCTGACTGAGACATAGATGGTGATTAATCCAGAGACCTGCAGCTGATAAGAGGCTTCAGAATGTTCAGTCTTAAATAAGGTGTCTATACCATACCCCACCTCCCAGGGCTGAGGGATCATTGTGGAAGAGAGGGTGGAAAGAGTGTAAGTATGTAAGATCCAGACGGGCGGTGGTAGCACCAGCCTTTAATCCTAGCACTCGAGAGGCAGAGCCAGGCAGATCTCTGTGAGTTCAAGGCCAGCCTGGTCTACAGAGCAAGATCCAGGACAGGCACCAAAACTACACAGAAAAACCCTGTCTTGAAAATACCAATTAAAAAAAAAAACCAAAAAAGAAGAATATAAGATCCACTGTGGTGTGTGTGTGTGTGTGTGTGTGTGTGTGTGTGTGTGTGTGTGTGTATGTAGAAAGAGAGAAAGAATAGAAAAGGAGCTGAATGTGGTGGTGCACATGTTTAATCCCAGCACTCAGAGGCAGGATAATATCCATGAATTCAAGGCCAGTGAAAGGGAGAAATCAGTAGCCATCTTGAGAAACACTTTCCCCCTCCCCTCCTCCAAAGGTATTTGCTGACCAGCAGTTTTAGAAGTGACCGGAAGTTGAACTTATAAGGCTGGGACAATAAATCTATGTATCCTGGACTTGGCAAAACAAGATATGGGGAGTAACGGGCTCAACTGACCAGAAATTGAACTTATAGGAGAGTAGGACTGGAACAATAAATCTGAATGTGTATATCCTGGGTTCAACAAAAGCAGGACATCGGGAGTAAAAATTTATGTCTCTGTAGATACCCTGAATCCTGTTAGCCATCAGTAACCTCATGCTTACAGTTCAGCCAGTCACTTCAAAGAACTACCTCACCGGTAGCTCCCTCGTCCAATCCCAAGCTGCATGCAAACCTTTCCTATATAAACTCCTTCAAGTGAGTGCTCGGGGCGTTCTCCTCCACCCACTGTGTCGGATGTTGGACTGGGACCAAGACCAGGGCTTGCTTGTTTTGTTATTAAAAACCTCTGTGTGCTTGCATCGGATATTGGCTCTGTGGTGATCTTGCTTGGGGGTTTTGCGACCTGGGCACAACAACCAGCATGGTCTACAAAGTCTCAAAAAAAAAAAAAAAAGAGAGAGAGAGAGAGAGAGAGAGAGAGAGAGAGAGAGAGAGAGAGAGAGAGAGAAGAAATCGGTTTATCAGAAACTCAGTAGAATGATCAGGCTATCCTCATGAGACTACAATCACAGGTGCGAGTGGAGGGGCTGCCAGGAAGTCATGTGGTCCACAGTCACAGGAAGTTACCAGAACTGAACTTGGCCAGCGTTTTGAGCAACTTACAGAAAGCCTCACAGGAGCACCCCATGTCTGGAGACAATGGCTAGTTGTCAACTGTCCCAGATAAATTGCTTTTCAACCAGGTGATTGGCCAAAGAGCTAGAGACAGAGAGAGCTCAAGGGACCATCTCTCCAGCTCCAGCAAATCTGTCTTGATAAACCCCAAAAGTAGATGGTTTTGATCAATTTGCAATCCCATCAGGGCGTCAGATATGAGGGCTAAAGTTATGTTTTAATTTTCAATTACTGTGCTTAAGAGAGCTATAAAAGAAAAATGCCTCTAACCTGTGAGCCCCACTCGCTCCAGGACAGATAATAAGGAACCTGCCTGCTCCGTTTTGAAGACATGACTCATTACACTGTATTGGTAAAAATAAGTTTCCATTTACTGTAAGAACTGAGTGGCTGTTTTTAAGTCTGTTTCCTGGAGATTAATGTGCTCCAACCCATGACCTTGACTTTTTTTTTTTGTTTTTTTTGTTTTTTGTTTTTTTTCGAGACAGGGTTTCTCTGTGTAGCTTTGCGCCTTTCCTGGGACTCACTTGGTAGTCCAGGCTGGCCTCAAACTCACAGAGATCCGCCTGGTTCTGCCTCCTGAGTGCTGGGATTAAAGGCGTGCGCCACCACCGCCCTTGGCTTTGACTTTTTTTTTTTTTGAGAATACCCTTACCTTCCCTGATCCTCCCTAATCACCCTCCCTAGTCACATGGTGACCACACGATGTTTTTCAAGATTTTTTTGCATTTCCTTATTGCCCCCATTGTCTTTCCTCTGTAAACCCACTTTGCAACTACTTGTGATTTTAGTCCTTAAAAGGGGCCCACCAAATGGATTCAGGGCTGCTCTCTTTAACCCAGCTTAGGAGGCAGTCACTGGCCAACTCTTGGGTGCTGTTAGTATTCAGAATGCTGGGGACCCACCCAGCATTCTGACATCATCTTATGTAAAGTCCCCTTTAAGAAAAAATTCCTTGAGACTCCGCCAGCTCCGATTGGACCAAGGTGAGTCTTTGTTCTCCTAGCCAATCACCCCAGCCTCCAGGCTTTAGGCCCAGGGGCACACCTCCATGCTGCCCCCATACCCACAGCCGTTGCAGGCCCAGTTCCAGGCCAGCAGGCAGGACTCCTGCAGGTAGGCCTGAGTACCACCATTCCCCACTGGACCCTGTAACCTATAAGCCCCGCTCCACCACCCCAAACCCACCCATCCTCCAAGACGGCAGCTCCAATTGGACCGAGAGCCTTCGTCCAGTATCTGGATGGAAGCAGATGCAGAGATTCACAACCAAGCACCAGGCTGAGCTCCAGGAGTCCAGTCAAAGGGAAAGAAGAGGGATTATATGAACAATGGGGATCAAGATCATGGTGATGGGGAAATCTACAGAGACAACTGAACCAAGCTCATAGGAACTCACGAACATTAGACAGACAGCTGTGGAACCTGCATGGGACAGGACTAGACCCTCTGCATATGGGAGACAGTTGTGTAGCTGGGTCTGTTTGAGGGGCCACTGGCAGTGTGATCAGGATCGATCCCAGTTGCATGAGCTGGCTTTCTGGATCCCATTACCTATGGTCGGACACTTTGCTCACTTTGGTCCTGTCTCGACTGAATGTACCAGGCTCAGCTGTCCTCCTATGGGAGAACTTACCCTTTTGGAGGAGGGAATGAGGGGTGAGTGGGGGGCGGGGAGTTGGAGGAGGGATGAAAAAATAAAGAATTGACTTTAAAAAAAATTTAAATTAAAAATAAAAGGAAAAACTCCTTCCCTTCACTCTCTCTCTTCCCCCTCCCCTCTCATCAGAGGTAGTACACACATCTCTCTCTCTCTAATAATCAACTTTCCGAATGGACATGTGTCTGCATGTTGTGAATAACTTTACACCGTTTCACACCACAGCCTGCCACCGAGTTTGCATGGCATGTCTCCCTCACCCACTGGGGCACCTTGGCCCAACCTGCCAAGGCCTCCCATGTGCCGTTTCATAACAGGTGCACCCCAATAAAATCAAGCTTATTCCAAATTTGGTTCGAATTGTGGTGGTGATCTTATTCTTGCCCAGTAGGATTAACATTTTCTGGAGGCCCACAGTGAGATTCACCACCCACCCAAATTCTAAAGCCAGACCTTTGCTCTGGAACTCTGAGGCCGAGGGGCTGCCTCAGAAGGTGTGTGCCTCGAGACATTCCAAGGCTCCGGGCTGCCTTCGGGTTCAGACTATCAGAGTGAATCTTAGTGCTGAAATAAGCAGAAGGCATCTATGGAGCCCTTCCGAAGAGTGATAGTCTGGTTTGGTTATGTGGGATCCCTTTTGAGTCCATGGAGGGGGTTTGGCAGGACCCCAATATTCTCCTGTCCAGGGCATATAGCGAAACATCGCACGGCCCACCAGGTTCTTGGTGTGGTTTTATGTCCCATTTGTCTTGTCTTCGTACGTCTTGTCTTGGTTTTGGCTTCATTTTCACTGTCCTCTTTCTGTCTTTTGTGCT